GGTGCCCCTGGCATGGCCAGACCACGTTCTGGTCTCACCTGCCCCCTCTGCCCGCAGGCCACACGGGTTGCCTTCTCCGCGTGCTACTGTCCCTCAGCCTCCTCTTCCTGGTGGCCCACCTCGCCTTCCAGACATGCCTGCACACCGTGCCTCACCTGAACCAGCTCCTGGGACCCAACTGTGAGTCACCAGGGACTGAGGGCCAGCTGGGGGCAGATCGGGAGACCCCAGCAGACTTCCTCAGCTGGACTCGAGTGGGGCCTCCATAGCCCTGCCGCAGCCTCGGGTCTTCGCAGGGGCTGAGCTCAGTTTTACTGGCATCCAGGCTCGCCCGGGCTGTGCCCCTCAGTGCCTGGCCATGATGTACGTCAGGCCCACGTGGCCCAGTTGAAGGGCTGGCCGAGCAAAGCCCGTTCACGGCCCCATCCAGATCTTCCCTGGGGCCCTCCATCTGCCAGCTTGTTCCTCTCCTTTCCTGGCTGCCCCAGGTGACCTTGGTGCCCCTCTACCACCTCCTGTGCCCTCTGGACAGTACTGGCAGGTGGGCCCTGACTTCCCAACTCTGGGATTGATAGCTCGGGCGTGGTGGCTCACAGCTGTAATCCCAGCACTTTGGGACGCCAAGGCGGGAGGATGGCCTCCCAGGAGATTGAGACCAGCCCAGACCACACAGTGAGACCTCGTCTCTACAAAAAAATTAAAAATTTGCTGGGTGTGTTGGCACACGCCTCCCAGCTACTTGGGAGGCTGAGGTGGGAGGATTGCCTAAGTTTAGGAGTTTGAGGCTGCAGTGAGCCTTGATGGCACCACCATCCAGCCTGGGAAATAGAGCAAGATCTTGTCTTTAAAACAAAAAACCAGGATAGATACAATACCCAGACCTCAGACTGGGAGCCCTGACTGAGTCCTACCGCTGCGGACACCACATGGCCACACGGCAGGCAGGGTACCACGCCACACCTCCATCTTCATTCTGTGATGACAGTTCTCCTGCTTAGATAAGACAGAAGCCAGGATAGAAGTCAGAGGCCCAGCAGGCACCCAGGCAGTGCAGCCCTGAGACCAACCTGGGCTGCCCACCTCTGACCCAGGGAACCTGGGCTACAGATTTTTAGAGACAGGGTCTTTTTATGCTGCCCAGGCTGGTATCAAACTCCTGATCTCAAGCAACCCTCCCTCCTCAGCCTCCCAAAGTGCTAAGCTTACAGGTTGAGCCGCTGCACCCAGTCTGGACTGTGGATTCTGAGATCTCGGCCCAGTCTGGGCCTTGGCCCAGAATTCCCATTCTGCAGCTTGGGGCCAATGGGGCCTCCAGTTGGCTTGAGTTTCCCTGGCTGGGCCTCAGTTTCCCAATTGATAAAGGCAGCATTTTTAAGTGTTTGAGACCAGACGGGTGCCCCAAAGGCACAGGGGTCCTGTGATTTGTGCCGCAGATCCCCTGCCATCCAGTGCTCCCACCTGACTAGGTTCCTTGGGCCTTTCTTTGCAGGCAGACTCTGGGAGACCCTCTCCCGACACATAGGGGTCACCAGGTAAGACCCCCACAGGCCTTCCTCAGGGACCTTGGGCCCAAGGAAGACCCAGGGAGGCCTTGGAGTTGCCCACCGGGCGCCCGGGGTCCTCCAAAGCCCATCCACGCCACTTCCCGCACCCGCCCTTGGATCTGACCATGGCCTCTCCGGCCTTCTGCAGGCTGGACCTGAGGGACATCCCCAACGCTATCCGGCTGGTGGCCCCTGACCTGGGCATCCTGGTGGTCTCCTCCGTCTGCCTTGGCGTCTGTGGGCGCTTCGTGCGGAAAGCCCGGCCGAGCTCGCACACCCAGGAACCGGTGAGGGGCTACAGGAGGCTGGGTCACCCGTGGGGGAGTCACTCCAGAGCTGTGGTCCCAGCCACTTGGAGGACTGCTTTACTGTCTTAGACAAGGCTGGACTTTTGAGTTGTGAGAATGCGCTCGTCACAAAGAGGGCGAGTCTGGGCCCCATCTCCAGGCTCTGGTGTGAGGTCATGTCCATCTAGGACCTGGCCCCACCAGGACTCCATCTCTGGTCAGAAGCATCCACAGGCCCCGGGACAGTGTCTGTGCTCTTAGAAATGGTTACTGGGCCTGGGTATGGTGGCTCACACCTGTAATCCCAGCACTTTGGGAGGCGGAGGCAGGAGGATGGCTTGAGGCCAAGAGTTCGAGACCAGCCTGTGCAACACAGTGAGACCTTGTCTCTACAAATAGAAACAAATTAGCCAGGTGTGGTGTTGTGTGTCTGTAGTCCCAGCTACCTGGGAGGCTGAGGCAGAGGGATCCCCTGAACTCAGGAGGTCAAGGTTGCAGTGAGCTGTGAAAGTGTCACTGCCCTCCAGCCTGGGTGATGGAATGAAGCCCTGTCCAACCCCCAAGAAAGGGTCCTGGGGGATTCTTGGACCACATCGTGGCAGTGTCCCACAGTGGCTGCAGTGGGGTCCTGTGTGCTTTACAGGAAAGTGGGGGGCTGTGGGACCAGAGCCCCAGCCAGGACCCTCGGGCCTCTGGGAGCCAGGGCCCCAAGTCAGAGGCTCTGCTGGGAGGGTGAGGCAGGTGGCGCTCGGCAGCCATGAGGTGCGGGTGGCTCGGCCCTGGGGTCTCGGAAGGGCTTCTCAGGGCATGAGCTGTGCCTGTGACATTCGCCTGCTGAGTGCTGGACACCCACCTACCCGTGTAGGGCCCATGCCTCCCACCCACCCCAGCCCTGGTCTTGCCGGGCAGGGCCTGGTCCCCCAGCTCAGGTGGGATTTGTGACCCTGCAGGCGTCCTGGCCCGGAGACGCCAGGGACACAGGCTGCTCCCACCCACCCCTGCTCCAGTGTCTGTCTGTCAGATGTGGGCCTCGACTTTCAGGGGGGGCCCACAGAGAAGGGCTCCCCAGAGCCACACAGCAGGCCAGGGTGGGGCAGCTCAGCTGACGGGCAGCTCAGCTGACCAGCAGCTGTCCCTGTCCCCGCCGCATCCACAGGCAGGGCTGGCACCCCCACTTCAGAGATGGACATGCAGCCTGGACTTGGGCAGCTTTTTTGAGCATTGTGGGGGTCTAGGCAGGGCTGGAGCTGCCCCCCCACCCTCAGAGGACCTCTTCCCCATCCCCCGCCAGCCCCTCCATGCCCATGGGGGCGCGAGGGCATGAGTTTCCTGGAGCCCCTACTTCCCACACTCACCTGCTCCAGAGGACAGGGGCTCCCAGCAGCCCCTGGGTCAGGCCGTCTTCCTCCTGGGAGGCAAGAGCCCGAGCTGTCCTCTGGGCCCCAGGTGGCTGGTGTGGACGGACTGAGTGAGGCGGGTGGGACACCCACGGGGCACAGTGCTGATGCCCAGAGCCGGGAGCCCCGAATTCGGCTGTACGCATGACACAGCCTGCCAGGGCCGGTGCACACATGCCCATGGAGCCACCCTCGCTCTCACACATGGCGACATGCCTGGGAACACATGCAGGCCAGCCTGGGGGGTTGGGTGCCGTGGGCAGTCGTGGGGTCTCATGGAAGCTGCCCCTGCACTCTGAGGCACACAGGGCCGGGCAGGGAGGGGCGGCTCACACCTGTCCTCCTCCAACAGCTGCCTCTGTTCTTTCCACCCCAGACTGTTGGTTTCTCACGGCTGTTCCCAGAGGGTTCCCAGGGTCAGGGCCAGGCTGTGGGCGGCGTGAGCTCAGTCCTCCCCCCCCAGGCTGGGCCTCCCCGCCACCCTCCTTTCCCTTACCCACCCCGTCCAGGCCTCATGTTCTGACCCAGCCTCGCCTCCTCCAGCTGCTAGGTGGTCTCCAGCTGTTAGGGAGGGGGCGGGCTTGGGGGCAACCCCTCCTCTGATATCCCCATTCCCGGTCCTTCCGTCTCCTACGCTCAGCTTGGGTCATTAGCCCACGAGGGCAGCACCTGTCTGGTGCATCTTTCCTGTTCTGTGCCCAGCCCCACTTGAGAGCTGGACCAGGCTCAGAGATGTTCAGTGACTCGCCTAAGGGTGCACAGTGGGCAGCCTCAGAGCTGGAAGGGCCTGGCCGTCTGGGTCCAGAGCCCATGCTCAGCCACCAGGAAGGCCCAGCCACAGAGTCCACCTCAAAGATGGGTCGTGAGGCTGCCAGCGGTGGGCTCTGATGACAGTTTATTCTTTCCACCACACCCTGGCTGTCCCATGCTGGGAAGCGGCTCTGTTCTGGGAAGCCTCTGGTCAGGGCCAGGAAAGAGGCCCGCCGGTCTGCAGCCCCTGGTGGGGCGTTCTTCCCCCAGGCAACTGCCACCTACACCCCTCTGAGGACCAGGAGGGCAGAGGCACTGCCACCTCCCAGCACCTCTGGCTCTCCATAGGGACTGGGTACCCGACCTGATGGACTGGCAGGGGCACACTGGAGAGCCTGACCGTGTCCCTTAGGCCCCCTCATTCTCTGGGGACCCTATCAGGGACAAATGAGCCCCACGGTTCTTTGGCTCTATGATTCCGGTGAGTTTACCCATCCCTTCTGGATGTCTCCAGCCCCGCGGGATCAGGCACTCCAAACTGTGACGTACGGTGCACGTGGGGTGTGCATGCCTGGGGGGCTACTTTCCTTTTTCCTGAAAAGCCCTTCTCAGAAGCCAAACCATGCTGGGCAGGGGCTTCAGGGACCAATGCGGGGCCCATTGGGGTCTGTCATCTGTCACTGGGGCCTTGTGGTCCCCCTGGGAGGTGAAGAGGAGATGCATGAGGTGTTCTCACAGTCGTGGCCAACTGACACCGGAGGGGGTCCTCATGTGCCAGGGCTTGGAAGACCCTGGTCTTGGCCGGGGTGGGGGGCCTGAGCTCGAGGCAGGAAGGGGGCAGGAGGTCTTCAGGGCAGCTTGGGTGGGCAAGCCTGTGGCCCTCGAAGGCCTGCAGGTGTGGCTTCCTATGTGTGTGCAGCTGGGCAGCGTGGCCTGGGGCAGCAGCCTCTGTGTGCACACCTGACCTTGCTCCTGCCTGTGACCTTTGCAGGATGATGACAGGAGGCATGCGGATGCCAGCCCCCAGGCAGGGCCTCAGGGAGCCCCTGCCCCAGCTCCTACGCGGAGGTCACGGCTAGCTGCCCGGTTCCGGGTCACGGCTCACTGGCTGCTGGTGGCCGCTGGGCGGGCCCTGGCCATTATGCTACTTGCGCTGGCAGGTACACCCTGAGGCAGGGGGCGGGGCCCCAGCACTGGTGGTCGCACTGGGGGGGAAGCTCCCTGATACCCCGGAGATGGCAGGTCACGGCCGTCCAGGCACGACCCCGCGCACCTCTGTCCAACAGGCATTGCCCACCCCTCGGCCCTCTCCAGCGTCTACCTGCTGGCCTTCCTGGCCGTCTGCACCTGGTGGGCCTGCCATTTTCCCATCAGCCCCCGGGGCTTCAGCGGCCTCTGCATCGTGGTGGGCTGCTTCGGCGCCGGACACCTCATCTGCCTCTACTGCTACCAGACGCCCTTTGCCCAGGCTGTGCTCCCACCCGCGGGCATCTGGGCCAGGTGAGGGCTTCCTCCTGCTCCTCCTTTTGCCCGCCTGCCCTCCTGGCTGCATCTGCGTCAGCGCCCCGTGGCCCGCTGGCTGTGAGGCAGGTGGGTGATGACAGGCCTCCTTGGCAGGGCACTTGGCCTCAAGGACTTCGTGAGCCCCCCCAACTGCTCCAGTCCCCACGTGCTGACCCTCAATACCAGCCACGACTGGCCCGTGTACGTGAGCCCCGGCGTCCTGCTCTTGCTCTACTACGTGGTGACCTCACTCCTGAAGCTCCCCGGGCGCCGCCCCTGCGACCAGGTGAGCACAGCCGCCAGCCCCTCAAGACGCTGGGCTGGGAGACTGGGCTGGGCTTATGGCGCTGGTCTCCACAGCAGAAGGAGGCAGCGGCCAGGGAGGACGAGGAGCGAGAGCTGGAGCTGGCTGAGCTGGACCCATGGCCCCAGGATGGGGAGGCCACCCAGGTGAGGAGATGGGTGCGGGCAGGGGTACCCGCTGTCCATCCCCCTGCTGGCTGACCGCGGGTCCTCTGCAGCACGTGACGCCCACACCCGCGACACCCGATGCGGAGGCCGACAACTGTATCGTGCACGACCTGACTGGCCAGAGCCCCACCCGGCAGCAGCCCCGTGAGTCCATGAGTGCCAAGGACAGCTGGGGATGCTCTGATCTCTGGGCACATGCTGGCGGGGCATGCCCTGGCTTTCTGGAGCCCAAGTGGACTATGGGGCAGTGCTGCCCCCTGGTGGCCATCAGGCAGTCTCACGTGTTTGCACCCCACCTGGCCTGCTCAGGGTGGTCGTGAGCCGTGTGGCTGGCTGAGACCCTGCAGGGCCCCGGCTTTCCTGACCCCTCCAAGGACATGACAGTTGGCCAGAGCTGGCCTGGCTGTGCATGGCGGTGGCGGTGTCCTGTGGGAGGATCTCGGGGGCTTTTTTTTTCTTGCTGCGATTTTGCAATTGTTTCTGGATGAAGCAGATGTGGTCACGGCTTGGGGTGGGTGCCCTGAGGGTCTTAATGCACGCAGAGCTGAAAGGGGCAGCGCCGCCCTGGCGTCCTGTCCCTTCAGGACCTGGAGGCCAGCCAGGTCACACAACACGTTCCACCGTGTTTCCTGCCCCGCACCACCATGGCCGTCTGCTCAGCCTGCCCGTGGGGCCCGTCTCCCCGCTTCAGCCCTCCTCACCCCCTTACCCTCCCACCAGCCTGTCCTGCTGTGCTCTTGTTCACCATCCAAATTCCAGTGCAGAGTCAGGTGGAGAGGGACCTGGAAGCATCTCCCCATGGGTCTCACCTCTGCCTCTGCCCCCAGTGCATTCCCGGCGGGCTGCGCCCAGGGAGCCGTCCCCATTGCATGGCCTGGGTCACCTCATCATGGACCAGAGCTACGTGTGTGCCCTCATTGCCATGATGGTAAGCGGCCTCCACGGGCCTCTGTGGGAGTCGGGAGGGAGTCGCCCCTCCACCGCCGCAGCATACCTATGCACCCCATGCCACTGCCCCAGCTGGGGGTGTGTTCTCTCTCCCGCAAACCTGGAGGTGCCCTGCAGGCTTTGTGCCCATGTGTGTGTGCCCCTCCCTGTGTGACCCAGTGGCCCTGCCACCTGCATGCTCATGTGTGCCCGTGCCCGGTGTGCCCGTGCCCGTCCCCTGCAGGTGTGGAGCATCACCTACCACAGCTGGCTGACCTTCGTGCTGCTGCTCTGGGCCTGCCTCATCTGGACGGTGCGCAGCCGCCACCAGCTGGCCATGCTGTGCTCGCCCTGCATCCTGCTCTATGGCCTGGCACTGTGCTGCCTGCGCTATGTGTGGGCCATGGACCTGCAGCCTGAGCTGCCCACCGTCCTGGGCCCCGTCAGCCTGCGCCAGCTGGGCCTGGAGCACACGCGCTACCCCTGTCTGGATCTGGGCGCCATGGTGAGTGTCTGCCTGACACACGGGGGTGTGCACAGGTGCGCGTGTGGGGACGACCGCAAGGTCACGCCATCCTGTCCCGTGTCTGCTTGCCAGGGGAGGGGGGCAGCTCCAGGAACCCAGGCCCACATCTGATTGTCACCCTGGGGTCTGGTTGGCCCACCCAGAACCAGCCCAGGCAGCCGATGGATGAGTGTTTGTTGAGTGAATGAGTGAACAGCCTTGTGTTGCTGTGGGCACCGTCATCCTTCTGTCCCTCCACTGCGCATGTTAGTGTGGGCTCTGCCCATCTAACGTGGGCTCCGTCAGCGTCATGCATGGCCCTGGGTCTCAGTGACTGGCTATGCCAGGTGTGTGCCAGTGTCATCGTGTCCGTCATGTTTATGAGCCAGTGCATTGTGTCTCATCATATGAGACGAGCCTGTGCATACAGCCTTGTGTGCCTGTGCATGTAAGCCCATGCGTGGGGGTGAGCATGTACATGCATGTGTGTACGTGTGGGCACCAGCACGTGCACGTGTGAGCATATGTATGTGCAGACCTGGCTGGTGAGCGTGAGCCCAAGTGTGCGAGCCTGTGCGTGCATGCGTGTGGACACACAGGTGATCTGCTCTCCCCAGTTGCTCTACATGCTCACCTTCTGGCTCCTGCTGCGCCAGTTTGTGAAGGAGAAGCTGCTGAGGACAGCCCGGGTGCCGGCTGCACTCACAGAGGTCACCGTGGCTGATGCAGGTGGGGGGTGGGGCCAGGGGGTGGGAGTAGGGGACGGCGGGGGGAGTACCCGCCCAGGCCCACACTGTCACCTGCCCACTGGCCTGCAGAGCCCACGCAGACGCGGACACTGCTGCGCAGCCTGGGAGAGCTGGTGCAGGGCCTGCACGCCAAATACTGGATCTACGTGTGCGCCGGCATGTTCATCGTGGTCAGCTTCGCCGGCCGCCTGGTCGTCTACAAGATTGTGTACATGCTCCTCTTCCTGCTCTGCCTCACCCTCTTCCAGGTGCGTGATGGGGCGGGCCAGGCCTGGGTCACTCAGGACCC